GACCTCAAAAGGTAACTGGTATCTGGGAAACAGTGTTAAGTCCCAGAAGTCAAAATTATGCCTCAGGAAAATTCCTGACTCAGACTGGTGGAGAGAAAAAGAATAAATACTTATGAATTAACTCGACTCATTCTTTACACATTTAGGTAAGGGAAGAGAGAAAGAAGGAGTATAAATTAAAAAACAGTTAACATGCTTTATTTGATATTTGCTAAGTATCCAGAAGAATTTCATGGGTGAGAAGATGGAGTGAGTTCAACAAAAATAACCTGCCAGAGGATTTAAGAGCAGCTTGTCTCTAAACCTCCTGAACTAACATATATTCTCATCTCAGGTTATTTCAGTGGAAATCTGAGAGGAGATTTATGTCATGATAAGGTTGTATTAATCCAGAGAAACATTTGTTCACACGCTATTATTTCTGCTCTATTGGAAACTTAACAAAGTTTTACTTAAAAGTTTTCACTGATTGTTTCCCATTTTAAAACAACAGCAGGGGTAGAAATGTTGCAGATGAATAGATATTTCTATAAGTGTACCTTAGTACAGTAAAGCTGAGAGGGGAAATATGTATCAGTGAAATACAAAAAAACCCCCTGCAAACCATTTAAGTGCTAAAACCCATCAATAGTCACTACTAAACCAACTGGGCTCCATCAGGTGACCTCAGTAAGTTACACCACATAAACTGGTGACAAATTTGGCATACAAACTATGAAGGAAAGCTCTGGTTCCCATCGTAATTTCTTTCAGTGTTCTCCGGGATGTGAAGGAGGGACTGCAAATGAAACTTCTACCCCGACCCAAGTCCCAAATGTGAGCAGAGAGCCCACCCCACAACTGCTCCCTTTGCAGGGGGAGTGAACCTGGGTGTGATGGGACTGGTTGTGCTGTGGGTAACACAGGTCAACAGCTGGGTCAGGGTGGGAGCCAAAATGTATTCTGTATCCAAATATGATATGGGCAGGTGACCTATAGCTCACAAGACAGACAAAATTAACAGCACTTCCCAAGTTACAAAGAAGAAGAAAACATGAAATCCTCAAGTCCAGTTATTAAGCAAGCAAAAAAATAAGAGCATGTGCAACTGCTGGAAGAAACATCTGGAGGTAATTTAGACCAACCTCCTCCTCAAAGTAGGAACAACATTATTAGGTTTTGAAAGTATCCCTGGATGGACCTTCCACAGCCTCTTTGGGCTCCAGTGCTGAATCACTCTTACTGTAACATTTTTTTCCACACACCTGGTCAGACTTTCCCTTGCTGCAGCTTGTCTTTTGCTGATAGCCATTTTGCTGTGCACCTCCAAGAAGTGCCTGGGTCTGTCTTCTCTCTAATTAGCCATTAGTTAGTTGAAGGAAACAATTAGATTTCCCCTTTGCCTTCAGTTCTCCCAGATAAACAAAACTCTGTCCCTCCTCAGTACTTCCTCGCCATCTCTGGTGTCCTCCACTGGACTTGCTCCAGCTTACCAAAGTCCCTCTGCTAAGGGAGGTCGCACCCTGAATGCAGCACTCCATCTGCAACCCACAAGCACCAAGGAGAGGCGAGTACTCACTTCCCATGACCTGTTAGCTGTGCTCTTGCTAATGCAGCTCAGCAGGCACAGTCCTCTCCTCCGCAAGGGCTCACTGATGACCCAAGTTAATGACTGGCTGCACATAACTCAAAAGTGAACATATCCATGCAGTTGTGCACATCTCATTTCAGATATGTTCTCAAGGAGGTGAGTGAACTTTTGGAAACTGTCCTCCCATAAAGGGGATTATGGAAAAATAGCAATGGGAGGGTGATCTACAATGAAAGCGATGCAATCTGTCAACAGTGCTAAAAAATTTAAATTAGAAAAAAAAATCATTGTGAAAGTAGTTTAACTTAATTTTGCTTATGCATTTTACAACAATTTTTTCTTAATGAAACAGTCATTTAGAACTTAAAAAAATTATGGAATAACTATAGAAACTATACAGATATTTAGTATTTTCCTTTTTTTTCCCAATTTCTTTATGTTTACCTACTTTCAGATAGACATTGAACATAGAAAAAATTGAAATTTTGAAACTTTTAATTAAAAAAAGTGTCTTTACTGTGACAGGTTCTTTGTTTTTTTTCTTCTTCTTTTTTTTTTTTTTTTATGTAGACATTTCTTATTAAATAGAAAATAATCTGAAGCAATTATTTTCCTGAGTACCACATCCTTGGAGATTTTGGAACTAGCAGGTCTCAGGATCACACCTCATTTTAATACAGGAAAAACAATTTTTCTCTTTTTCAACTCCCAGTTGGGTTCTCTGTTTCAAATGAACTAGATATTGACTAAAGTAAATTAAAATGAAGAACAAGCTCTAAATGTACTTGACAGTACATTGGTGTATTAACTCACCAAATGCTTATTCTTAGTTCCAGACATTTAGCAGCAACTTCCCACAGACCAGTAATTTCATTATTTAAAAATCTGTCAGCAGTCACTCATTCTGTGAAGGCAATTTTAATTTAATTGATGTTAACTGCAACCCACTAGAGTAAATGTAGGAAGTATTATAAACCATCATAATTAAAAATAAGATTTTTTCTATATATGCACCTACATAATTTAAATTAAAGATACTAATCTCAAAAGATAAAACAAAGTTAAGACCCACATAATAATACCTTCTCTTTCTCTTTTCCAAGATGTGCAAAATGACTAGGGGAAATCTGCTGGAGGAACCTCATATTAAACTATGATGCCTCAAATTGCACATTGGAAACCCTCCAGGCTAAGGTAAAATTATTTGGCCTATTAACTTTTAATTTTCTTTAAGAACTTTTCTACATGGAAATAATCTTGCGGACACTTATGTATTATATATTATATATATACACTCATATTGCAATGCCTCGCTGATGTTCATGTTATTTCCAATGTCGCTCTTTAAGTTCACACCCTTCCTGATCTACGTTGACTTCCCTGTGAGCACCGCATGTAGCCCATCCCTAAGAGAGAAATTGCTCTTGCTCTTTCTGATGGGAAGTTTCTGCTGGCACATTTAACTTCAGCATGCCTGCAAGAAGCCTTCAGGATGTTAGAAGTATCAAAAGGTCACTTCAGCACCATCCTTCATTCAGCCATGAGGGATGGCTGCTGGAGCTGACATATCTTCTGCATTTAAAGGACCTCAGAGGGAATTTGTAGGTGGGAAAGCTGCTATTGAACACCATGGTTTTCATAGGCTTCTTGCCGGCTCAAATCCCTCTGCCCTTTGATCAAACAGGATTCACCAATACGGGATGGAAAGACAATTCTACCGCAGTGGGCTGGGAATAGGGCTGTGAGCAGGGTTTCCTACTGCTTCAGAGGTGTGATATCTGGTCAGGACACTTAACCTTTTCTATTCACATTTAGAAATGTAAAATAATTCCAAACCTGGATTTTGGCATAAGAAGTAGTAAATATAAGAAATAATTGCAAAGAAAATATTTTGGTATTTTAAAACTAAAAACTTTAGCGTCCAGCAGTCTAAATTATTCCATTGATCTCCTTTAGCTTTCATAAAAAGATTCAGTTTTTCAAATTTAATCTCTGTTTACAATGGCACTGTTTGAACTCCTGAAAACTTTGCCCTTGGGTGAGATTGTGATATTGTGTATATCCCTTCAAAAGCGTCCGTGTTTAAGGAGCACGGTGAGGTGAGAGCTGTGGCAGAGGACCTGACCAGGGATGTGCCAGCCAAAACATATTCCAGTCCAATCTGGGAATAATCGAGATTTACTGCAACATTATGCCTTAATGAATGAGAAGGGGAAAGGTAGGGATGGAGCGTTTCTCTAAGTGAGTGAGCTCTCCCCAGCATCCTCCAATTTGCTGCGCAAAGCTTTACCTGCCCTGGGCAAAGCACCATGGGTGGCTGCAGATGGAAGAGGAGCACAGTGAAGGCTTTATGCCCCCGTTCAAAACAGCTTACCAATATTTCGGCACCAGGCCTACAGCCGGCTGCAGCGGTCTGAGAAAACTTCTGAGGGAAAGGCACAAGCGCATGCCTGGGAGAAATCACCTCACACTCCTCATGGAAGGTGTGTGGGGACGGAGACGGAGGGAGAGGACAGCAGGGCAGGCGTGAGCCGCTGCCTGGGGCCCCCAGCATGTGCCTGGTTGGAGATGGTGTCAGTAGGAAGGCATACAGCTCTCTTACGCACTTCTCCAGTAAATTCATTTTCATATGTTGTTGTAAGTATAGCATTAATTCAGAATGGATTGAAGAGAACTTGGAGTCAGACTCACTTTTTCTTAATTTAGCTCCCTCCCTGTATATGCACTACAGAGCTGCAGGTGTAAGCATACTAGTCAGGGGTGCAGTAACTTCTGCTTCTATGATCAGGCAATTAGACCTTTGTGTCAGAGTCAGGCGTTATATGGAAATCATTAAGGCTATGAGAAGAAAAAGTAGCCCTTGGGTATGGTCATCACTGTCTGAATCCTTACAGTGACCTTAAACAGCAAGTGTTTCAGAGCAATGAGACCCTTCTGTTAAAGGTGTTTCAATAAGTAATAAAGCACGATGATTACCAAGTGTGTCGTCCAGTTGTTCATCCCAGCAAACAAAATCATAATCATGTGTAACCATAGGACTAACCAGTTTGCTTCAGTAATTCTGAATTAGCCCAGTGAGTATAAGCTTTCACTGTTTAAAAAGAGCTCTCCCTTATTAATAATTATCATTGAATTACATTGCGTATTTAGCAATACACTGAATCAAATAAAAAGTAGTAATTTCATGTTATATTTGAGCACGAGAGTTTTACCATAAGCCCCGTACTGAGACAGAAAACTAAGGACCAGCCCTCCAACACCTTAAATTGGACCATGTCTTAGAGCAATTACCACCTGGCTTTCTTTGCTCTGGAGATATTCAGAATAATGGTCTATTCCAAATGCCATATTCTTCAAATTCTTTTCACCCATAGTGAAAGATAGGTATTTCCCTGTTCCACCTAGAGGACTGCAGTTGCTTGTGGCCTACCTGTCCTGGTTGTTCACAGGCTGTCTGGTATCTTGCTTGTTGGCATAATTCTTTTACTCTCTCATATTTTGGTAGTTGATTAGACTGCTGGGTGGTTTTGTTGGGTTCCTCCTTCTTGCGTAGAAATTTGCTTTAAAAAAAATAAAGTTGAATATTTTAGACACATTCTTCTAAAATCTGGAGATGATGAATTCAACTAGAAAAGCAAAGCTACTTGAAGATTTAATGTCTTCCCAGGGGAAAAAAATCCTCACATTTCTGTTATTGAGCTTCAATGTAGGTCATGAAGTGAAAAAAAGGCTCAGGTGATTTGCTGGAAATTACCCAAAGGGAAGTAAGGGCTGCTGAAATATGTCTAACTGATACAGTTCAGCGCCATTCATACGTAAATGTATCTTTCACAAAGCAAAACATGCGGAAGGAGTACTGAAAAGCCCAGCTGAAGAGACTACAGGGATTCCATACTCATTCAGCACTAGCTGGGCTATATCTTATGCATTACAATATGTCTTATACGCACTGTTTTGTACTACAGCACACAAGATTTCCATAATGTGTAAAGACATAAAATGCCACAAGGAAATTGCTGTAAAATTTTTACCCAGATTAAATTTTCACAGCTGTAATTGTCAAGATGAGAGGGTGTAAAGAGGTACCAGTGAAAACAGAAGCACTTATAGTCACAAATCTTATTTACATGTAAGTCTCTTTTTAGCTATGCTCCCAATATGTGATGGAAAATACAAAATCAGTTGATAAGAGGATTCTGCACAGCTGGATTTGAAACAGAGATTTGGAAAGAAAATGAGTCAGATGATGACATAAGTGGTCAGAAGTACAACGTTAGAGAAAGAGGAGATACAGGGTAGAAGAGTTGCCAGAAAAGCATGCTTTCGAATTTCTTCAGAGGGAGGGATTTGGGACCACAGAATTTTGCAAACCCAGTGGTGGGAAACTAGGAAACAAGTCAGGCCTGTAAGTTTGTTTGCAAAATTTACTACTTTGCTGACCATAAAAAGGAAGAGGAGGGAGAAGAAAGGAAAGTATGTACAAGAGAGTGTTCCCAGCAGGCAGGGTGTCCCAAAACTCTCTCACCCCTAATAATTACCCTCTTTCCACCAGAAATGTGTCACGCCAAATTTTGGTCTTCTTGTTTGTTCGAAACCTGAAAGCAAAACAGTAATATTTATTGCTGGCACCCATGTATAGCACTAGTGTTAATAACTTATTTTTTAAAAAACACCTCTGCTTATTTTATAGATATGCTACTCAAGAGACTCTTCAAATGTGAAAGCTGTGGTCTTCAGCATGACACAGTCCATTTTCACAGAATCGCTTTTTCCACTCAGTTGTTGATTTACTCAGGTGTTTGTTTCTGAACTGGCTAAGAAAAAGATGTTGAGACCCACCTGTTTCCTGGTCTCTCCAAGTCCAGAAGCTTCAGGACAGACTTGCCGTCCATATCTGGAGGTGTGTCAAGTCCTGCTATATCCAGAATTGTTGGAGCGAGATCAATATTCAGAACTATCTGAGGCACTCTGCAAATCAACAGAAAAGGTCATAGTTGTCATGTGTTCCATATGTAAGTCTTCACATTCTCTTGGAAATAGAATGTTAATTAGTGTTTATCACAGCTTTGAAGACTTAAAGCTCTACAGAATACTAAGCTTAGAAAATTGTCTTTGAAGGCTACAGTTGTGAGAATGGCAGGTCAGTACTGCAGACTGTCATCACAAAGAAAAGGCTAAGCACAATAAAACAAGGAAGTGCAGCAGCCATACTACTCTTATCTCATTGACAATGAAGGCATGATGCCATCCATTCTGCTAAACCAGAAGGTGAGCAGTAAAGATGAACACCTACTTTCTAAAAGCAAACCCCAAAGCCTAACCATACAGGACTGCATATTACACAATTTACTCATCTGCATTATAACTTATTAATAATATGCAAAATGAAAGACGTGCCTCTTTATAGGAGCCATTGCACTCTAATAATAGGGCATCCTTTATGAAATGAAACAAGACAGAGTGATAATTACATGCTCTTAGAAACATTTTACATAAGGTTCAACAGCTGTGCTACAGACAGAACATACACTGATCCCGGCTCTACACTTGGACCACGAATAAAGAAAGGAACTCGAATATCAAAGTCGTATGGCATTGACTTCCCCTTGACCAGTCCAAACTGCCCGATATGGTAACCATGGTCAGCAGTGTAAATAATGTAGGTATTCTCCAGTTCTCCCATTTCTTCAAGCATTTGGTATAACTGCAACACAGCATAGGAAAAACTTTGAATTAAAAGTAGTAAAATATGTTTTGTGCATAACCATCATGTATAACCATCATTTTACTCCCATAAATTCACAGAACCAAACATGACATTGATAAGGCTGTTGAAACAGACATTCTGAGGACTGACATTTTTACATCTCCTATTTACTGTGCTGTTAAAAAAAATCAGCTTACAAGTTCAATTTCACATTTGACAGAGGAGAAAATTAAACAGGTCCAGAAAATTAGAATAGCAAAATATGGTAATACTAGTGCAGTTGCACTAGGATGTCCAAAAGTCATTATCTACTCAAACACAGCTTGTGAAAAAAGTCTGCTATGACTTTAGGGCAAATGGTACTCAGATTTGATTTACTGTGTTAGTCTACAACTTTCTCGTTCCTTACAGTTGTGGGCTTGGGAAAAGGTTGTAAATTTTTATTAAAGTTTAAAGAAATCTCTCTGGGGGAAGATCTTTGGTCATGGTGCTTGATTTTGGAACAAAAAGTCATGCAAAGTACACCTAATAGTTCATGTATCACGTTACCTATAATTAGCTGTACACTGCATTGCCTAACTTCTGCAAACACCAGCAGGCTGACACCTGAGTTGCTGTGATTTGCCAATTCCCAGATTTCAGCTGAAGGATGAACTGTGAAGGAAGTATGTGAAATGAATGGAAGTTGTCATGTGTGCACCTGTGTCTATCCATGTGTGCACACAGGTGATGCATCTTCTGTTAACACCCGGCTTTATATTAGTCCCAATGACTTTTCCCTTTAAAAAAAATCATCAGTTTATTCACCCAGCAACTAAAAGAAGCAAGTGAGGAGCTTGGCAGTATGGTGCAGAGAACCAGAATTCATTTCTATTGAGGAGAAGTGGAGTAATTCTTTGTAGCCCAAGGGCTTTCCCCAGGCTGTGGTTGGGTGAAGGTAAAGAAGGAATAAATTTAATTTTGTTAATGACTAATAAGACTGTATTCACAGTAGTTTCTTGAAACCATAGAGTCATCAACTGACATCAAGGTCTGGAGTCTTTTGCGTTGCAAGACGTTTGTAAACTCCATGTGGATAGGCAGCATGGGCCCCGTGTACTGCATGATCCAGTGCTTATCCATGTTTGGTGCATAGTTATAGCTGGGAGTACTGGGAGGAAAAGAAAGAATCTGAAAAGTTGTGTTGCATCACAGGTGTCAGAGGAAGGTGGGAACTCCTCCAACACAGGAATTGCCAACAAACAGTTAAATCACAAATTCCATGTGGGATTGGTGTTTCTAATGTCAAATATCAACAAACATCAGTTCAGTGGCTTCCAAACTTCCTTGCTGCATACATCACTTCCCCAAAATTTTTTAACCACTTGCTTTCTGAGCTTTCTTTCAGGCTCAAAGACCACCACCAGATCCACGTTAGTATTTGGGAAACGCCAAAATGTACTTCCAAAACTAATCTCTAATCATTAAAAATGCTCATCTGAATGGTGCAACACATAAAGATAAGCAGAAAAATGAAGTCAGAGATCAAAGATTACTATATCCCCTTAGTATTAAGGTACATTTTCCTGATTCTTCCTGTGGGGAAACTACCTTTGTATTAGCACAAGTTAAACAAAACTCACAAGAAAGATATTTTCCTGTGGGATAAAGAAATTTAGTAGTCTGTACTAAGAACAGCAACACTGGTGTTATCAGTTTTCAAGATGCCCCAAAGAGCAAAAGCGCTGACTTTTTTCCCTTCCCCATCACCAAAGGCAAGGGCAGGCATTGCCAGGCCCCCGAGCACAATCTCCCTGGGGCTGGCTGCCTGGGCACAGGGTCAGCTCTGACAGGAGGCCGTGTTGTGTCCTTGAAGCAGACAGCTGAGAAAATGCTGCAGCCAGCACCATTGACTCCAGAGTCATGTTCAATCTCTATCACCTGCCCTTAGCCCTCACCTGAGCTATGTCCCAGTGACATCCAGTGATGTGGTAGATCTGCAGATTCCACCCATACCAAAATAACATTTATTTATACACTAAATACTGTTGAGGTGTTATTTTTTCCAATATGAATGCAAAGTACAGTACATTACGAGCACAACATGAACTATGACAACAATACTGAACTAATACAGCTATCAATACTAGTACTAAGAAGTATGGGACAGAGTCCTACTGAAGCAAAGAATGATGATTTAGGAGTTTGCACAAACATGAAAGGAAAGACTTAAGAGAGGTGTTCTGTCCACAGGCAGTGAATTTCTGAAGGATATAATATAAGGAACAAGAATACATTCACAGAGACAACACCTCTGAAGAAAAGGTACTGCAAAAAATCTGCCAGGTAAATTTGCTGTACAGATATACATGGTACAAAAGCTCTCCATCAATGCTATTTTTATACCTAGCACACATGACAAATAAGAGGTGAAGAGAAACCAAATAAAAGGTGAAGAGAAGTCAGACAAAATCCATGTCCCATAACCGTTTCACCTACATATGAGCAGTTTCATTCTCTGGCTCTTGCAGAATCCAGGCTTTGCCATTTTGACGAAGTTCTTTGAGTTTTATTTTTTCCCCATTTCTAATAGACTGCAATACATGCCACATGTATTGCAGCATTGCCTTTGAAAAATAAACATAAATAGAAAATGAAACAATGCTGTTGTGTGATTGGATTAATTTGATTCCTATGGTTCTTTTTTTCAGTTTATAATAAAAATGCAATTCAGTAATAATTTACTGTTTAGATACTGATAGTTTTACTATGTGCATTACCCAAAGGTACATCTTTCCCACAGAAATGTTTAGATGTAGTTGTCCTTTCGTAAGAGGTAGCACTGAACAATATCAGAACATTGTATACATTGATAACTTCAAGTCACACCTTTGACAAATCCTTCCTTTAGCTTTCATTTTTCTTGAAATGGTTGTATGTGATCACAGAATGGTGGAAGCAGTTGATTTTACTGTATCAGCAGTCATACATATAATCTATACACATCCTGATGATAAAAATCAGCTGAATGGACAATGTAATAGACTGAGAGTCAGCTACAATAAATTAATGGAGCCCACATTTTAATTGGAGACCATTTTTAAGAATTTAGCTAGAATTGGAGAAGTACCTGTATATCTTTAATACACACAACTAGTTTTGACTAACCTACTTAACCATTAGCATGAAGGGACAACAGAAGTGAGACAATGGTATCACAGGATTTGTGAACCTTTGACTGAGATTAAGAAGTATGGAAAAGTTAGCTCCCTACTAAACAAAGAGAAACATAAACTAGAATTCCTTTTCTGATGGAAATTCCTTTATTTCAGGTTGAAAAGTAAAAATTTTTGACATTTCCCATGCCTGAAGTCTGATTTTTTAAAGGAATGTTTATACTAATGAAATTAAGCCCAGTAGCATAGCCCTCTAGGTTGTTGGCTAGCCAGCGAACTTAGCAGATGGATCAATGCAGCCTTAAACCTTGAAGAAGCAAGTCTTAGGCATTTTGGTCACCTATCAGGTATTAGGCACATTGACAGAAAAGAAGGATACTTCCAGGGCAAACTTTCCTCTGTCTCTTTGGAAGTTTGTCAAACGAGATGTTTTCCCATGAAAGAGCTCAGTTTTGATTAATCAGCATTTTCCAGCAAAACTCTGGTTTTTTTCCAGTGGGCTCCTGAGTGCCCCCGCCACGGAGGGATGAGGTGGCTGTGAGCTGTGCTCAGCTGGCAGCGCCGTGACAGCCTGCTGCTGTGCCAGGAAGGAGAGCCAGCTGCTGAAGCAGGCTCAGGTCTCATGTTCCCAGGCCATTGTCAGAAGCCTCCTCCGCATAATGGATAGTCTTTAAAAGCAGCACTCAAGGGTTTAGCAGGGTGGTTAAAACCCTTCACAGACACTTTCCAAATGCATTTTGGATTTTCTGGGTGAGAAATGCAGTAGGCAGAGAGTGAGTAGAATTTTCCTCCCAGACAACTCAAGGAAATAGGACCTTTTGTGAACTATCCAATGCCAGTGGCCGATGGAGAAATGTGAAATTGGGTCCAA